AGAGGGGTGCTCCTCTGACACCCCTGGGTGCCCTCCCATAGTGCCAAGGGCCCCCCATGTGCTTCCCACTCCCGGGCTGGGGAAGCCAGCAGCCGTGGTAATGGACGGCCGTTGGCACGGGAGAGGTTACAAAACCCCTGCCTACTTCCTGATCCCAAAGTCAGGGGGCCCAGGGCTCACCTTGAACCCTGCCACTGCTCCACACTGCAGATCCGACTCCACGTTGCCTGGGTCCAGGTAGGCGATGCTCATGAGGAAGCCGGGACCGGTGAAAGCCCAGAGTTTCTTAAAGCTGAACCCCGCCTGGGACAAGGCAGCAAGTCAGAGCCAGGAGCTCCTCTTCAAGCCCAGTGTCTCCCAGTTGCACATCCAGTCCCCTTTAACCTGGTGCTGCCCACACGCATGCATTTGGCACATGGAGAACATTTCTCCGACAGTTTGGAGGGGGGGGGGGGAACTGCTGCCCCCGGTCTCTCTCTGTTAGCAGTAGTGCTGTAAGGGCACTGAGCCCCTCCCTCCCACCCTGGGACAGGTTGGACAGTGATTTGCAGGGGGGTTGCAGGGTTGTCAGACACCGTTAATTGCATCCCGTGGGATCCCACTGCAAAGCTCTGCTTTCACTACCCCTCCTGATAGGAGAACCCTATTCCTTCCCCCTTCTCTGTTCCACCACCCCAGGATGGGGATGGGAGGATTGGTGGGGTGCAGTCAGCCTGGGGAGCTCCACTGGGCTCACCCACCGGTGGCCCCAGAGGTGTGTGAGCAGGGGTGATTCCTATGGCTGGATAGCTCCTCACCCCATGCCTCAGTTTCTCCATCTGGAAAAACAGGTCTGGAAACACTCAGACTTGCCTGAGCCAGGTCTGGGGATGCTGAGGGCATGTTCCCAGGACATGTCCAAGATACATCTCCCCTGCTGTGGTGGCCCTTTGCCTTCCCACCTCCAGCTCCCTGCAGCACTGGACCCTGCCCCATCTTCCCACCCTCAGACAGAGGTGCCAGCCTGGCAGCGCCTACCCCGCTGCCCTTGGGGATGCTGATGAGCTCATCCAGGTAGGTCTGGTCCTGAGTGCCAGGGTGCTTCCCGCCAGTGCTGTGACTCTGCGCTTGGCCGTGGTTCAGGGACCCAGTGAGGCCTGGTGGGGCAAGGAAAAGGAGGAGGGGAGGTGGTAGCCTGCCAGGGGGACAAGGACACTGGTGGACTGGCAGCTCTGGCACTAGCTTTCTCCAGTCCCACCTGACCCTACTTGGTGAGTTCTGTGAGGTACAAGCACCATTTTTCCAAGGGGGCCATGATGGTGGCTATATGAGATCTGTCAGTGGCTACCCAAAGGGGTCAGATGCCACCTCTAGCTCAGATGTCCCTAAAATGCTTGCTCCCAGCCCAGTCTTCACCAGTCCAAGAACCAAGTGTGTTTCTGGGCAGGAGGGAATCCTGCTCAGGGCCCTGCTGCTGGGTGGGCATGGAGTGGGGACAAGAGGCTTGTACTGGTCCTAACCCCCCCTCCCCAGCCCATCCACATCCTGGGAATGTGGTTGAATCACAGGTGGACTTCGGAGAACAGAGGATGAGACAGAGAGGGAATCCAGGACAGGCTTGGGGGGACAGTGCCCACTGGGAGATGGAATGGAACCAGGGGTACCAGGGCGGAGGGAAGGGGGTCTAGGGAGGAAAGGACGCACAAGGGGACCCAAGTGTTGTGAGGCTCACCTGGTTCCAGCGATGCCATAGCTGGGGCTGATCCAGACATGCTGCTGGAGCACTCTGATCCTAACACTGGGTGTAATGCCTGCTGCCCAGCTTTTAAAGGACCCTCCCCACTGCCCCCCCGAGGAGGAGAGGAGGAGGATATGAGAAGGAAGTGTTCCTTCCCTACCCGCTGACCTGGGTAGGGAAAGGGCCCCTGGCTGTTGGGGGCTGGGTGCGATGAATGTGCACACTCTCGGTTCCCGCCCTGTGCCAGGAGGCCCCTTTGCTCTTCTTTGCCACGCACACACACGTGCACGCACGAGGCACCCACACCAGGAACGTGGGAGCATTGTCTGTGTGTCACCTTCCATCACATGCCAGGGCTCCTGCTCCTTGGGCAGTTGGGGGGACAGGGGACAGTTTCTCACAGAGTGGGAAGGCAAGGCTGGCCACAGGGGAGTAGGGGAAATGCCATAGGAGTGGAAATGAGGAGGAAGCAGGCATGTGTTGCACAAGCAGATCAAAATGCAACCTCAGCTGCTGGGGGAAGCACTCAGCTCTGCGGTACAGGGTGCTTTTGTCACCCTTGGGTGTGGGGACCTTCACTCCAAAGATGGGGTGCCAGTGTTGCTGCACTGTCAAGCCGTGACAACAAAAGTGGGGACCTCATCCCCAGGACCCTCGTGGCTGTGGAGGTGGAAGGGGGAGCACCTCAGATGCTCCTGTGGGTACCTGGTTAGTTCCAGCTGTCTCTCTGGGGTACCCATCTGCCATCCAGGCTGTGCCCCACAGAGAGGTGGGCAAAGTCTACACATGAGGTAGTGGCGGGCATAGGGATGTGAGTCTGGCTCTGCTTGAGGATATGCCCCAGGCACCCCCTACCCTAAGCCCTAAGGGCTAGAACAGCTGAGAGGGGGACAGGGTCCCACCCAGATGGCATGGTGGGGCTTTAGCACACAACTTGGCACCACCTGCCCTCCCTGAGCCTCAGTTTCCCCAAAGCAAACAAGACTGGGACAGGCAGTATTGGCAGCTTTATTCCCCATTAGCTGGACGGTGGTCAGGTGGGGAGCTGGGGAGAGGGCTGGCAGACCCAGAGGAGGCAAAGGGGGTATCCATGGGCCGCTGGTGGGTGAAGAATTCTGCAGCGAAGGAGATGGGGTCATGGGGCTGCTGGAGCAGCAAGGCCTGAAGGAAGTCAGACAGCAGCGCCCGGACCTCAGGGTGCTGCTGGAGGTAGGCAGCATGGGATAGTTGCAGCTCCTCCTGCAGCAGGGTGGGTGTGGTGGGCATGGACATGCATATCCCCCCGGGCACTGTGCCAGGGTGAGGGGGACAGGGTGCCTGGGTCCTTTCCCACACATAAGAAGGTGTGAGGGAGGATGCTGGCCAGTCTGCCCCCCATAGTGTGTCCCTTGGGCACATCCAGGGAGACCCCGCTGGGGACTGGCACAGCCCCATGTTGCCTTGCTCCCATGTCCACCCATCTCACCTTCCTGTCCAGGAACCAGGAGCAGAGCTGGATGTCCTCCTCCCAGTTCAGGGGCTCTTTGGGGAAGGGGAGCTGGGGCTCAAACCCACCTGGCAGCAGAAAGGCAGGGCAGGGTGTTCCCCACTCAGCTGCTGGACAGTGGGCAGGGGCTGCCCATGCTGAAGGGCACGAGCCTCCCTGCCCCAGTACCTGAGTTGCTGAGGATGGACTCATCCTGCAGAAGCATCAGCGTCGGGGAGCCAACCTGCGTCATCTGAACCAAACGCCTGCAGAGGGGAGAGCCCATGAACTCCCCATGCTGGGTCCCTGACAGACTGGCAGGGCTGGGGGTGCCCCCAGTCAGACCCTCACCCTTACCCATTGGGGAGGAAGCTGCTCTGCCAGACAGTGGAGACGCCTGTGCTGGTGTGCATGGCTTGCTCCATCACAAACACCTCCGTCTCTGCAGAGCCCACTGCCTGACGCTGGATGCCCAGGGCAGACTGGGCAGGGCACAACCAGGGGTCACCCTTGTCTTAGAGTCCCCTCTGCCTTCAGGTGCCCTTCCCATGCTGTCAACCACACTCTGCCCACTCCCACCTCCCACATCCCACCCTGGCACTCCCAACCTGAGCCAGACCCCCCCAACCCCACAGGCCCCCTGGCTGCAGCTCACGTAGCTGGAGGTGCAGAGGTGGCCCTCGGTGTCGATGGCTGGGAAGATGAGGCCGGGGGGCACTGTGTGCCGGCGTGCCAGCACCCGCAGCAGCAGGAGGCTGGCACCCTCCAGCAGCAGCCCCCGCAGCTCGTCCTGGCGGTAGGAGAAGCTCTGGCACTGTGGCTCTGCCTGTGGAGAGACCTGGCCACCTCATGGGAAAGCCACAGCCCCATCGACCCCAGGGACAGCAACCCCCAGAGCCTGGGGCACCCCTGGTGAGACAGGGGTCACCCCTGATGTGACCCATTTGGGGGGCAGACAGGAGAGATCTCCCGCCTTCAACCTCACCTCTCCCTCCTGGAGGGTCTTCGTGACAGTCATCCCATGCTGGTGGCTCACCATGTGGGTACTCTTCGCTGTGGGGTGTGGTGTGAGCTGTGGGAGGGGTAGAGGGCACAGGATGGAGGGTAGAGCCAGGGCATCGCTTTTCCTGAGGTGGCACACCCCAGCACTGCTTTCAATCAGGGTACCCCATAAGAAGCATTGTGGGAAACTCCCTGCCCCAACTTCCACCCAGAGTAGGGAATGGGGACCAGGCTGGTGGGACAGAGCTGGAGTCCGAGCCTGGGAGGGGACACCAGACTGCCCAGAGTGGCCTTGCATGGGGCATATCCTCCCAGAGGGCACCACTGCAGGGCACACCCCAGGACAGGGGGGGCAGGACATGGGGAAGGGGATGTGCCACCACGACCACCACATCAGTCACCTCCAAGCACTCCTGCTCCTCCTGCTCCAGGGTCTCCAGCTGTGGGGTCACAAAGGCTGGCAGAGCAAAGCCATGCTCAGCCAATCTTGCTGGCACTGTCCCATTCCTAGCCCTGGGGGCTGGTGAGACAGGGGTGCCCCAGCCCTGAGGTGGGGGGGACACCCGAAAGGACCCCGGCTCACCTTTGAGGGTGCTGGATCTAGGCACGCCATCCTGCCAGCCTCGGAACCTGGCTTGCACCAGGATGCAGTTCCGCACTGGCTCACCTTCCCGTCTGTAGGGTGCCCACTGGGCTGCCATCCACCACTGGCCCTCTGCCTTGTCCCTTGGTGGGTCCCCTGTGCCCACCACTGCCAGCGTCTCGGCGAACAGGCAGTGCTCCAGCTCCTTCAGCCCTGCACGGAGGGATGGTCACCCCTTCCCGGAGCGACCATCACCCCTGCCCAGGGCCTCT